TAGGGTTCAAGACCTATTTATTTGATTTTTTTCAGGTTCCGGACGAAATGCTAAGTTCTCAAGGATGGAAAACGAATCAGAGTCACGCGACTTATGTTGGTGGTCATGTGAAAGTGCTTGAAGCAGGGTTTTTTTCGAGAGCCGACATCCCGGTCCGCTTTCGAATGAATCCCGAAATGTTGGGAGAATTGAAAAATGAGGTATGTTTGAATAAAAATAAACTGATGAAATTTATTTCCGTCTGGTGATACATTGGCCAAAGAAATCAAGAGGGAATTCGGAATTGAAAGGAGTCAACTAACAAATTTTGATGAAGTGATTGCTGAGGTGCACGGGAATGTTTGATCAACTTTGGAACATCCTTCAAGGTAGATATTTTTGTTGACTAATTCAAAGTTTTACTATAGAAGTGAGAATCCACGAATTTACCATCTCGATGTTGGCGCGATGTATCCGAATATCATTTTGACAAATCGATTGCAGGTATGATTGTTAAAGAACCATTAATAGTTGAAAGCCCAAAGAAATATTCGTCTTTTACATCACAATACACATGCAATTTCCAATTTGGCCGTGTGCAATGGTTGACGAGGAGACTTGCATGGCGTGTGTCTACAACACATCGAGTTCGGAATGTAAACGAACAATGCCTTGGATGTGGAGAGGAGAGATTAGTAAGTATTATAGTCCATTTTATCCAATAAACGCGTCTTACTATCATATGTTATTATTTATGTCATTTGATGGAAAATAGTGGTCAAGAAGAATATTATCACTGAAGCGAGGAAATTGGTTGAGAAAATTGGAAAACCCCTCGAATTGGACACTGATGGTAGTAAATTATAATGAACTTCGATTATTTTCTTGCATTTCTTATATTCTTCGATTATTTGGTGCTTGCTTCCGTTCAGTTTTCCGGAAAACTTCACTTTCAAGGTGACAGGCTGGAAAAAAGATAAGGTGAGTTTGACTTAAACCTTTTTAAACTTCGGTTTATTTAGATCTCCATTTCCTATCCTGCTACCATGTTGAATGCACTCGTTCATCAGAAATTCACAAACGATCAATATCATCGGCTTCAAGATAATGGAACTTATGCCATTTCTTCAGAGAACACGATTTATTTTTGAGGTTTGTTCTTGTTCATTTTTGTAATTGAAAAGCTTAGGTGGATGGCCCATATCGTTTGTATGCTTCTTCCGGCTAGCAAAGAAAAAGGGAAAGAAATTGAAGAAAGGGTTCGTTTACTAAGAAAATTTCTGCGAATTGACCCATTTTTATCAAGCTCAACCCGTATTTTTAGGTACGCTGTGTTCAACTTTGATGGGTCGATGGATGAGCTGAAAAGATTTGAATTGAAACGTCGAGGAGAGCTCAACATTATCAAGTTATTTCAGGTGCACTGTTCACAGAACTCTCAATATTTACCGAACTTTTAGGATGGAGTTTTTCTCGATCTTTTCTCAATGGAAAGGATCTTGAATCGGTTTGTAAAAAGTACAAATTTCTACTGACCATAAAATTTAGTGCTACAAGAGTGTGGCTCGAGATGCGGACAAATGGCTGAATATTCTTTTTCTGAAGGCACATTTATTATTGAAATTCTTGAACAGCATCTTATTTTTATCAAGCATAAAAATCCTCTTTAGGTGTTGATAACACTGACCAAGAGCTCTTTGATTTGATTGCCGAGAATCGTTCAATGAGTCGTAAGTATATCATGGCAATCCAATCAGGGATAATTTGTTCTTGAAGGCAAGCTGGAGGACTATGGAGAACAAAAAATCGACCTCAATCTCAACGGCGAAACGGTTGGCGGAGTTTCTGGAAAATGACATGGTTAAGGTAAAGTTTTGCAGTAAATCTTTCACTGTCATTTAAATTTTTAGGATGCCGGCTTGGCCTGTCAGTTTATCATCCCAAAATTTCCGATTGGAGCCTGTGACCGAACGAGCAATTCCTTTATCATTTTCCAGGGTGAACTTTTTACGAAGTGGAAATACTCACTTTACTAGGCAGCTTCGTCTTAACTCGTTTAATCCCGTCCTACGAAAGTGGACGAAAAATCAGGATATGACTGGAGCTGATCTGCGATTGGTATACTCTTTATTCTTTCAATGCAATTTAAACTTTAGCTGCTTGATTGGCCCTATTATATTGAACGATTTGGAAGTTGTGTTCAAAAGATTATCGCCATTCCGGCCGCACTTCAGGCTAATTTAGGGAAAAAGCTCTAAAGCTTATGAAAACTTTAGGGAGTTGAAAATCCGGTACCTCGAATTTCACACCCAGATTGGCTACGAAATAAGATCAAAAGCAAGGTTGTATTCATACAATTGTTTATGGACTTTTGGTTTTTAGGTTGACGAGACTCTACAGTGTAAACTTGGTGATTTTGGCTTCACGTTGTCAAAAAGAAAAGGGTTGGTTTCTTGAGCTTTTTAAAAAAACTAAGGAGTTTAGCCACCGAGATCAATGCAAATGGGAAACGCCTTTTAACTCAGCCGAATGTGGAAGATCTCACGTTGGATTTATGTAAGTTGACAGGAACACAAAAAGAGAATAAAGAGAATCATCCAGCTGTGAAGAAATCGAAACCCGAAGCTGGTAAGGAGTTTTTAAGATTCAAAGCTCGAACTTTTTTACAATGACATTTTGAAAAGTTCGCATGATAACTTGTATCTCTTTAATTTTCAGAGACGAATGAAGAACTCAAAAAGAAAACTCAGGCTAAAGATGGCTTTGATGCTTGGTTGGGCTTCTTAAAAAGAAAATGGAAACAAGGTATTTAAATTGGCGCTTAACACTTTAAAGTTAATGTTTAGGACGAAAGGACCGAAAACAGACCCAACAAAACTCAACAACAGTCGAGCAAATGCTTGTGCTTTCGAAGCAACGGATGCATAATAGATTTTGGCAGGTTAGGTTTTTTTGATTAGTTAGCAAGTTATTACAACTATCAACTGTAAATAGATTGAAAATATCAATCTTAACGTTGATATTTCATTTTTGGTTTTCAATCGATGTTTAAGGTTCTTGCTGTGGAAGAAACACGAGAACATGATGTTTTCAATGTCTGGGTTTCGATTGATGGACAAATGAGTAAGGTTTGGGTATTTGGATATCTTTGAAAATTTTAAGTTTTAGCATGGTGTTCGTGTTGAGCGGTCTTTCTATTGGAATCAACGAGATAAACGAGAGAAAGGGGAAACATCGAAAAAAGTGCTGCCACATCGAAAAGAATCGCTGTATTTATATGAACATCGGATCGAAGAGGCTATGTAGATCTGATAATCTAGACTTTTTGGTGTAAATATGTATTACAACGATCCATTTTATACATGCTAAGTGTATCATTTCAGATTTGAAGAGCTTTTGACGTCAATCAACTCGGAGCTTTGTACAACAGCGGTGGAAGGAGTCTACGAATCTCAGGTGTGAAACCAAAGTTTTTGACTAAATTGAGTTTTATTTCAGACCCCACTTCTCTTCCGGCTCTTGAATGAGATGGGTTGTATGTGTCGAGTGAATGGACCGGCCGTGCATACAATTTGGCCACTCACCTCGCTCAAAATGGTACCCCTATCCGAAGCTGAATATCTACCACAAGGCTCAATTCGATCGATCTTTCTCTACAAATATTCACAGGTAATTTTGACTTGGAAATGATGAAATATTTAACTATTTCAGGATTCTCGTGCAATCTGGGTGATCTTTGATGCTTCGACCTCCGAGGCTCACTTTGTGATGGCCAATAAAGGAGATATGCAGATACCCAATTTGGAGAAAGTTTATAGAGAACTACACCAAGCAAGGTAAAGTTGTAATTTTTTTGTCTTAAACACCATTATTTAGTTGCGAAGAATTTGGCATTCGTACGATGAAAGGAATTCGCGAACAATTGACTTTCCATATCAAGAAAGTGACCTCACAATTCTTGTCACCCAAGCAAATGAAAGCCGCGAATCTTTGATTCGAAATGTTCCCAATCTTGGTCTTTTCCCACACGTACCGGTTGGTTACAAAATCAGAATATGTATATTCATTGGCCTAATATATCCTTTAGATTCACCAAAGAGCCGAACCCTCGTCACTTTTCTCGAGCATGGCAGCACTGGCAACGAGTGACGGCGAAACGAGCCATTCAACAATATTTCTACAGTTTCATCTATCTAGAAGTTCGAGGAGATTCTTTTAAAGTATATATGTCGTAGCCGATTATGAATCAAATGATTTCGCTAGCGAAAATCATAATCGGCTAGCCGAATATGAATGAAAGTAGCTTTTTCTAGAAATTTGTCGTCAAATGCAAATTATTTTTTTATGTTGTAGCTGGTAAAACCCGATTTAGTCCCCCAGTTCGAGTACGGATCGGCAGCTTTCCCATTTCGACCCAGAATTTAAATGTTTTGAACCGTAATACGTTACTAGTTACCACTTGTTAATCATGCGTTATACTTTTGCGTTATACAAAGTTTAAGTTTTCACATTTTTAACTTTTGTCTTTTATATTTTCATCGGACTAAATTTTCTTTTTAGGATGGAGGATCGATTTGCTGAAACCTTCACGCAATATCAATCTCAAAGAAAGAAGATTTTGATACAAATACAATGAAATCGTTGTGAAAATCAAAGAATTCAGCGAGGGAAACGATAAGAAGAAAAAAAATCACGCGATGATGTCAACTTGCTAAATCGTTTCTCTCTTCGATACGAACAGGACCAGGCAAATCAGTCACGGAAGCGGGCAAAACAATCAACCAAAGCGAGTGGTCAAGAAGGAGGAGCTCTTCAATCTACTGATGGGTACTCACAAACGACTAGGACACGCTGAACGCGATACTATGTGGAAGGAACTTCGCGACTATCATGGAATTTCAAAGGAGATTATTGAAATATTTGTCAAGCTTTGTGACGAATGCGAGCTGAAGAAGGGTATACCCGGATATATGGAAGGCTGAAGGAGGGTATATGGACGGTGTGCTTGTCGAAAAGCCAACGTCCTCTGTAATAGCCGACGTCACCATAGCAATTCCTGCTTGAACAAGGGATAAATTTGTAGACCTTTGTTAATCTTTTGGCTTGTTATTGTTATTGTAGCGTTTCCTTTTTTGCCAATGATTGACGTTAGATACCGTTTTTGATCACAGTGTCTAAATGGAGGCGAAAAAGTCCTATTGTTTGCTAACCATGGAATTTTCTCCTATAACGCCCACAAATTGCTCACTTTCATATTTGTTCAGCTCACTTAGCTTATAAAATTGGAAGTTTTGCAAAACGCTCTTCATTATTTTGATAACCCTCTTGATTATTTTGATAAACCTTAGGTATGAATTTATTTATTGAGTTGGGTTTACATTTGTTTTTGTGAAAATTTACCTGAAGATCATGATGATTTATGTCAATTTATGATTTTCAGTCATAACTCCTTCTCACCACACTGAAATGGCTGCTTTTGCTTACAAGCAACTGTTTTGCCCCAGGATCGCTCATCCCATCTCTAGAAGGGGCGCCCAATTCCTCCGTGGCCGGGTCGCGATTATTTTGGTATGTATTTTGGAAATTGATTTTGAACAAACCCTTTGCTTTAGCCATCCAGTTCGCCCAGCTTTGCGAGCAACAAAACACCCCGGCCGACATCATGCGTGCGCTTGATGCGCCGGACGGCAAGGTGCCGCCACCCCTGTCCGAGCAGGGTGTCTTCGTGGCGCTCGATGTTTTGCTGCTCGGCCCTGAGTCCGACTCCAGCTCGATCTCGTCTCGCTCCACGTCGTCAATCGCCAAATCGACGTCGCTCTCCACTGGCCCTTTGACCTCGTCTACTTCAATCGGCCCTTCGACCTCGTCCACTTCAACCGGCTCAACCGGCTCAACCGGCTTCTCTTCTGCTTCTTGGAGTATGTTTTTTATTTTATAATTTTATCTTATCTTTTTTTAGTGATCCTTCCGCCGGTCGTCCAACAGACGCCCATCAAATCGGTCCCGCGAAAGCGTCGCCGTTCCGGCTATCTACTCTGCAGTGACCTGAAGGCGATCGAGGAAGCGGCCTCCAATGACGATCAACAGCCCGGCCCCTCGAATAAGGTAAATTTTGGAACTACTACTTAAGTTTTCCTACTTAATCTCTATTACTACTTAATTTTACATTTCTTCAGATGGCCTCACACCACGACGACGACGGCGCTCCCACCACCTCCACTCGTTCTTCGACTCCCCATCCCCGCGGCCATGAAAGTGCATCGAATGATGAAAATCAAGGTACGTCAAATTTCTATTGTATTTTTTTCGATAATAGATTTTATAGAATTGTTTCTATTATTTTGAAACTTTTGAAGTATTAAATCTTCGACTTTATCAGATTTTTGATTTTTTAGATGATCACATGAAGAATAGAAATCAATTCGATTTGGTCGAAGAACCAGAAGTTGATGATCTCGAGACTAGAGGTTCGTCATTTTATAATAAAATTGATAACTAGATTTCATTTTATATTTAGATGAGGACGAGCAGTTGGTTATGTCATCTAAAATTGGGCCAGGAAGCAATCAAGTTGATGTGCTCAACAAAATTGGCGTTGACGATCAAGTCGATTCGTTTGTTGAAATTCATAAAGGTGAAATTAATTATTTTTTTAATTGCTTTTTATTTTAAGGTACATGTTATAAATGCAAACTACCTGTCGATCGAAAAAACATGATGAGATGTCAGGCAAAGAAATGTTTGATAACTGCAAAACGTAAGTTCAAATAAATTACAAAAGTTTTTAATAATTTATTTACATTTCAGTTGCTGTTGTAGAGTTGTTTTGGTTTATTGGAAACTGGTTGTGTCTATGGGCGGCGAATGGTATTGTCCCCAACATGATGGGCGTCCTGAAAAGCAACGACATGAGAATCAACTTCTCTTCAGCTCAGACGAAGGATCAGGAATGAGAGACTAACGTTTGTTTTTTTTCAACGACTAATTTTTTCTCAACGCTTCTTACTATTAGATCGTTTCTCTATGTTTCTTTCTTTTACTCTTTCTTTTGAATTGAATAACTTTAATTTTAGATTAACTTCTGGTCCAAAAATGGCTGTGATTATTTTATTCTAAATAAGAATTTGCCTAAGACATTATACTGACTGTAAATAGTTTATCTGTAGTTAGTTTATAAAAAAAAATTCATTTCATTTTCATTACAATTTTGGATTAAAGCGCATGTTTTTCTTTTTGTGGAGATAAATTTATTTTTCATTAAAAGGGCATTTTCATTTCGGACAACCTAATAACTTTAAACATTTTCCACCTTTCAAAAATCTCAAACGGACAAGAGCCCTTAATTCTTTAAAACTTCAATTTCATTCGATAGCTCTCTCTTTGCAAACGTTTTCAAACTTTATTGTTCTCCATTTCTTGGATCTTTTTGTAGTCTCTATTTTGATGTGAGTGCGTTTCGAAGAAAATGAAGAGAAAAGGGATGGATGTTTTGATGTTTACAAGGGAATCGAAATGCTTTTCCAGTAAATCGAGCCGTTATTTATTGCTTTTATCTGAATTTATAACTATTTAATTTTAGCTATCAAATGTGATCACTGAATGCCAGTGAAAATCACCCAATTTCTTTTCACAGTTGATAGAAAATTTGTAAGTGTTTTGTTTCTATCAAATTCGGACAAGTAATTTGTCTGATTTTAAAAGGGCTACTTCGGGGTGGACGGGGGACGGGGTGGACCAGGTGGACGGAGTGGACGGGGTGGACTTCTTTTTTTCTCGACCATCACGAAGAATAGCCATCCTTTTTTCTTTAAACCACAAACAATAGCTCACTTCCTCTATTCAGAAGCAAGAATTTTCATGAAAAAAGAAGGAAACGTTTTTTTCGTACTCAAAAAACTGAAAGGAAGGCCTTAGGTGGAAATCTTGACTCCTCCAATTCGTCATCTTTGATCCAAGTTATTGAATTTTTGAAAGCTTTAACTCGAAATTTAATTATTGCTTGAAGATTTTTCTAATCAAGACTTTATAATTTTTTATATAATGAAAAAGTTGCTTAGAATCGTACTAAACGTGTACCTAAAAAGATGTTTGGTGCAGGGTTTCCTTTTTTGCCAATGATTGACGTTATATACAGTTTTTGACCACAGTGTCTAAATGGAGGCCAAAAAGTCCTATTGTTTGCTAACCATGGAATTTTCTCCTATAACGCCCACAAATTGCTCACCTTCATATTTGTTCAGCTCACTTAGCTTATAAAATTGGAAGTTTTGCAAAACGCTCTTCATTATTTTGATAACCCTCTTGATTCTTTTGATAACCCTTAGGTATGAATTTACTGACGAATTTGTTTAACTATTATGTTGCTAGCTGTTTTTAATTACTTATGTGTGTTTTTCAGGTTTTTCGATCAAAGTAAGTTACAGTCATGAGTATTGGCCTCTCCTATTCTTGAACTTTGAAACTAAAAAACTTGAACTATTCTTGAAGAAATTCTAGTTTTCAAAAACAGGTAACAACAATTTACTTCCGAGCAATAACATAACAAAAAAACATTGAAAGAGAAAATTACTCAAAAAGTGCAAAAGTGTGCAAAAGTATTGGCCGCTAAAGTGAAAATTCAACTATTTAATATTTTGTCGGGCCTTTTTTTAGCTGAAATAAATATATAGCCCGAGAGATAAAAATATTTTCTTCCTAAATGTTTGTTATCTCTTTTCTCATCTCAAAGCGCAGTCCGAAAAGTACAACAAGAGGCGATTGAAGATATTCCTTTGGATTTTGGGGCTCTTTGTTTTCGAGAATAAACTCTGGATCGAATTCCAAAGCTTTTAAGAACATCAATTGAAAGTTCAAAGGGTTCTTATGGGATAATTATAGCCAAAATACGGGAAAATGGCTCAAGATCAGCACAAATTGGAGATTTTGCTTGGAAATACAGCAAACGGACCACGCCAATCGCTTCTCTGACCCCGAAAACCCATTGGTACAAAATTTTGGCTTCATATCTGATCTGAGCAATGCTTACAAAACAAAAGAAATTCCTTTGTAAAGAATCTTTGTGCGGCGGCGTAATCGTTCGCCGTCTGGCGCAGGGCCTTTTACCTATGAGGGACCCTTCCCGTCCCCCTTCGGCAAACTGTTCCGGTCCGGGTCTGCCTGGCCGTATCCGAAGGGGGCATACCATTTTGGTGCGTACCGTGTCGTCGCCCATTTGGCGCAAAACTTCGGGATGTGTGGGGGTACTGATCGCTTTGGTCTTTACCGCGTCGACGCCCTTTCGGCGCAAAACCACACGGAACAGGACCCCGTGAAATGGCCAACTGGCGATGTGTGGGGATGTCTTTGGCATCCCTCGCACTCCCTCCCCCTGGGCCGACAGGCCCCGGGGAAGGATCCCCCACTAGGCTAGTTCCCCCACAGTCCCCCCTCCCACTGGGCCGACCATTAGGCCCAAGGTGAGGGCGCTGCTCGATGTCCAGCCACCTCCGCGTGGTGAGCAGTGGGCATCCCCTGAAAGAAGGGGATGGCTAAGAGCTGGACTAGGTAAGAGATTTCAGGAGTAGGTATTAGGTCATAAAGCTAGGACTTCCCCTATGAAATTGCTAATATCTCAGCGTAGAAAGAATATATTGTAATGGAAATTTTAAATGGATTTTCTCAAAAACTGACAAGCTTAACGCCAAAATTATAAAGTGATTCGGCGATTAGCGACCAAGTTATAACAAAAAGACTGCGCGAGGGCAACTTTTTTACCTCCGGTGCTAAGTTCAAAAATACGAGCGCATGAGGAAACAACAGAAATTTTGGTTCTACGGCATTTAAAACCAGAATAATGTGGATACTTTCTGAAAAAAGTTTCATCACTCTTAGCAAAGTTTGTTCTATTTTTCAAAAGGGTTAAGCTTTTATCTAGCTGTCTCTTGAAATCGCTGAAAATTTGATATTGCTATTTAACGAAAACTACTACGTTATTCTGCTTAATTTTTGGGGTAGGCTAGTTTTCGCAATTTTTTGCCAACAGGGTCATTTGTGCAACTGGGTCGTTTGCGCAACTCACCATAACTTTCTTCTAAGTCGGCCAATCTTTGTGCTTTTGGTGTTATCTACAAAATGATCTACAAAATGAAACCAAAAGCATAAAGATTGACCCACTTAGAAAAAAGTTATGGCGAGTTGCGCAAATAACCCTGTTGCGCAAAAAAAGTCGCGGAAACTAGCCTACCGCTAAGTTTTTTATTAAATGAATTACACAAAAGCTCTGGGAACATTAATTTATAAAAAATTGAGCTGAATTTCTGAATAAATATTTTTGAGTCAACTTATTTTCTGTGAAAAAGGTCAAAAATGGGTTTTTTTGTTATAACTTGGTCGCTAGTCGCCGGATAACTTTATAATTATGGCATTAAACTTGTAATTCTTTGAGAATAATCCGTTTAAAATTTCATTCAAATATATTGATTCTACACTGAGAAATTAGCAATTCAAGAAAGGGTAAAGACTTAGTTTACAGCCTAATAGTAACAAAAATCCATAAGGGTAAAACCCTAAGTACCCATTTTTGAGTCAATTGCATTAACAAAATTTTATTCTTCCGTGAAAGCCCATTTTCAACCTTTGCCAAAACCTATTTGAAAGGTTTTCTAATATTGGGTTGGTGAATTGAAAACTGTGGGACTTTGAACTAAAATTTATTGAACATAAAACCATAAATTCATTCCAAATAATTTCCATTATTATTGACGACTTCTGCCCATTTTACAGGCAATTTGCGGATTCCTCTTTCGTAGTAGGATTTTGGTTTGTGTGTGAGACAACTGTGAGACTCACACTGAACTTTAAGACTGGACTTTGAGAATGGAGGACTGGACTCCAAGTTTGAGCATTTTCTTCAAAAGAAACCCATTTTGGTGTCAATAGAAAGGTAAGAGAATCAAAAATTAGGCTTATAGCCAAATTTCCAAAAAGATACACTTAGTAGTTTCGCTTAAAATGCAAGTTTTGTGAAAATTCGTAAATTTGGCATTTCTTGAAAACCAGTTTTTGAATCGTTTGGAAAATTTGGATATAAACTTCATTTTTTGATTCTCTACAACTTTTCCATTGACACCAAAATGGGTTTCTTTTGAAGAAAGTGACAAAATGTGACATATGACAATAGCCCGCAGTTTTCAATTCACCAACCCAATATAAGAGTGAAAAAGAGTCATCTTGTTAACTTTTTCTCAATTTCTTATAAACTGTACTTGTTTCCTCAAAGTTTAGATAAAAGTGTTACAGAGCTTGCATGAATCTAATATCTAATAGTAATCTAATAGTAAGACAGTAAGTAATCTATTAGGCTGTTCGGATATAGACAAGCGTTGCTAAACTTATTGTTGTGAGAGAAGCTTTTAAAACATGTCTTTCTGTATTTAAAAGTACACCATCTTGTGCATATTTGGAATCTTTTTAAACGAATAATTTCTTATTTTTAAGATCTTTAAGATCTTAAGATCTTTTTTCTTGCTTTAGATGACTTCAAATATCAAATACCGACCTCAAATTTCAAGTTCGCGTCTGCCTACTTTATGACTTCAAACTGGGCCAAAACAGTCGCGGAATCCCATCGAGATTTGGTAAAAGCATTTGGGAATGATGTATTGTTCGAAAGCCGATGCCGAGCCTGGTTCCAACGCTTTCGGAATAGTGATGAAAGTCTCGAGGATCATGAACACTCTCGTCAAGAATATCATTGTCTACCTCAAGCGGTAGACAACGATACTTTGAGAGCTGCAATGGAATCGGATCCATGTCAAACGACGCGTGAACTTGCTCAACAGTTTCTATGTTCAAATTCTACTATTGATGAGCATCTCCACTGGATGAGCATCTCCATTGGAAAGGCGATCAGACACGGGAAATGGCTTCCTCACGAGTTAAGCAGTGCAAACGCTCGTTTATATCCGAACAACCTAATAATATTACCTGCCAATAAGAAGCTACACATTCACATCTACAAAAACAACATCATTTCCTTTCATCTTGCAACCTAATGACAATCTAAGGGGTTAAAGTCCGAATTTTGATCAATCGACCAGTTATCTCACTCCTCGGTTTAGTGATGAAAGCACAAAATTGCAGATCTCTTATACATAAAAAAATAAGTGCCTACTCTTTGGTTGATAAAAGGATTAAGAGACTCTGCTCAATTCTGAAAATTCTTTTCTTAATTCTTTAATTCTCTTCATTTCCCACCTATCTTTCCGGCTTTTCCTTCTCTTATCATTGATATTTTGAAAATCCCTCGAGGGTGGCGGACGGGTAGGAAAAGAAGGATACGAGGGATAGGAATTCGCTCGACGGCCGTTCCGTTTTACTGAAAAGTTTCACGGATTGTTATGTTATTTGCTATTTGTTATGTTATTTGTTATTTCACGAACTATTTTTTATGAACTATTTTTTATGAACTATTTGTTCAAAGTTTTGTTTTTATTTCGAATCTTGCTTTAATTTAGCATTTTGTTCTTTGTCTTGTCTATAACTTTGTCTATTCTTTCGTACAGGCGCTCGTATAGACCAATCGAAAGACTTCAGAGTTTCAACATCATTTTGGTGTTGAAATTTTGCAAGTGATTCATTCAATACATTCAAAATACGAAACTTTATGCTATTAGGTTGGCAAGTTATAAACGATCGTTTTTGGGTAGTGTTTTCTGTAAAAACGGCTTATCCAATCAAAAAACGGTTTGCTTGATTCAAAGCCCTATCCTTAATCTACAAAATGGCTTTTTTGAATTTGGTCAAAGCATTTGGGAATGATGTATTGTTCGAATGTATTGTTCGAAAGCCGATGCCGAGCCTGGTTTCGGAATGGTGATGAAAGTCTCGAGGATCATGAACACTCTCGTCGACCTCAAGCGGTAGACAACGATATTTTGAGGGATGCAATCTATTGTGTTCTAAAAATGTTTTATTTTAGAACTTTTTCAGGCATTTTAATGTAAGAGTTCAAAATCCTGGTTTCTAGCAGTTTCCCAAAAATTTCAGAACAATCCAATCTTCGGAAGGTTGATTTTCAAGTTAGGCTCAAAATGCACTTTTGTGCTAATTTAATCCATTTTCGTTTGAATTTAAGCAAGATTTTTAAAAAAAGATTAAAAGAACGAGAACGGTTCGATCGATTCGATCTTTTAAGCTTCAAGAGCTTCCGCTTTTCGAAAAAGCTTAATTTTAGGCCATTTCAGGCCACAAACAGTGATTTGAGGCCAACATCATCTCTAGTATTTTCCAATGCTTGAGCCCGTTTACTCGTTTTGTTTCATGAGTTTCTTGCTGCCCCTACGGACCAAAATCCTTGGGATGAATCCAAAAATTCACAGCGGCTCCCTTCAGCACCCTTTTGTTGTTTGTCAAGACACAAATTGTCAACTCGCCGGCCCACAACTGTATGTCAAAAGAAGCCAAAGGAGTACGTGAAAGAATTGAAAGAATTTTTGGAACAAATCTTATATCTGTCTCACTTTGGTAAATGATAAAACTCTTTAATAGTAGTGCACTCTCTGATAGTATTGCTGTCCAGGAGGGGGTTGAAAAAATGGTAATGCGCACTACTATTAGAGAGAATATGGAAAATAAAAATCTGGGTAGCTCCTTTCATTTTTCATTAAAAAGTATGCAATCACTGAAAAATATAATAGCTCATGAATGCTAGAAACCAGGATTTTGAACTTTTACATTAAAATGCCTGAAAAATTTTAAAACATTTTCAAAAATTCAAAAAGCCATTTTGTAGATTAAGGATAGGGCTTTTGAATCAAGCAAACTGTTTTTTGATTGGATAAGCCGTTTTTTCAGAAAAACACATTACCCAAAAACGATCGTTTATAACTTGCCAACCTAATATATGATTGCGATAATTCACAGTAAAAAGTCGTTTGATATCGAAAACTGTCCAGAAAATCTCTTCGTTCCTTTTCGCACTTCGGCTTAAAACCAACACAATGCATCAATTGACCAATAAACAGCTTTTCTTTAAAGCAAACCACAGATTAATTGATGAATTTGCTATTTTTCAACGAAAATATGAAAAGGAACGATTTTCTGGACTTTCTGGACTTTCTGGAACTTTCTGGACTTTCTGGACAGCTAAATACCTGGTACTGTTGACAGCTTTTTGCTTCTCGTTCTGGAATTTGAACAAATTCCATTGTAAGCACATCCATCGAACTGAAAATTGTTGTTGTTTTATTATTCGCAAAAAGACTATTTTACGAATAGATGAATTGCTTTCGAATCTGTTGTTATATATCGAGTCATAAAGCAACAGTAGATGAAATACAAAAATATGAAATGCGAAACCAAAAATGGAAAAGACCTTGTAAAGAGATTCTGCTCAACCATTATAACTATACTTTCAAAGTGTCCCCTTGCCCACTCAGCTGAATATCTTTGAGTTTCGTGGAGAATTTCAAACAAAAGGGTAGCTACGAAAAATCTACGCAGAAAAAGGGGCGGGATCAAAAATTTTTGTTTTGGCACAGTTCTCGCTTACAGGTTTCTTCATTTTTCCCGTTTTTTTATCTTTTCAATCAGCGTTCAACTTGACAAAGAACCTCAGCTTGCTATGGATCTAGCGCGCAAGTATAGTGATGGGCAAGACAATGATCTGAATCAAGACCTGTAAGAGAAAATGAAAAAAGTGCCAACTTTATTTTAGAATTGGATAGAGTTTTATCAAGGCTATTCTATTCGGCATTCCCACTTTTGCTATTTTCGGCTGCTGCAGAAGATCAGACCTTAATTGGGCAAGGGGCGTATGATGTTCCAAGTCATGGCTCTTTTGTATATTATGGGCTGCAAGGTTTGGCTCATTCTTTCTTAACGTGAATGAAAATTTAGGGCTAATACCTCTTTTGTTGAAAGAATTGGAGAAAACAATGATCAACTTGGACAAAGAAGCTCAGCTTGCTATGGATCTAGCGCCATGCCAGGTTTAACTTGAACTTGATAGAACTAACTTTTATTTTTAGAACTTGCGAGATGGAACTTAGTTGGCCGATTACATGGTCAATCGTCTACGCAAGAGGAGCGGAGAATTTAAAGAGGTAGTTTTTAAAAACATAAGTGCACCTCGGTAACCAACCTTTAGTTAGCTGAGATCTGCTCAAAAATTTTTGAATTTTCACCTGCTATTCCATATTGTCCTTGTTATTTTGAGGCATTGGTTGGGTATTTGTATACTGCGATCCGGAGAACATTGAATTATCGCTTTTTGGCGTAAGACATTATCGTTTAGTTAGGAGTTTATTTTATTTGATTTAACGTAAATCCGTTGGTGAACTCGCATTTGGCAAAGTCTCTTTTGTTATCGACGATTTCTTTTGTCGCTGACATTCCGGGAGCTCGACTGTCCCCTTTGGTTGATTCAAAAAAAGTGAGTTGAATTTTTTAATCCCAACTTTTAATGCTAAAAATTTATACTATAAATAAAATTCATTTTAGAGACAAATTCCTTTCCTTGCTGATGGACTACCACATTTCACGACCGAGTGTTGAAGAAACTGGGGCTGAGACACATTCATTGCTTTACCCGGCTGTCTGCTTGTTCCTGGGCGATTCGAAGAAGTGCAGTAAGCAATTGAAAGGTTTTTAAATTATTGCACGCCTAGAAACATCATTCTTTCATACGCTAGCATCATTCTTTCATACGCTGGGAATTAATCCATGTCTCATTAGAGACATGGATTAATTCCTAATTTGCTTGCAGAAGGAAAGGGTTTGAGAATTTATTGTCACATCTTGCCTACTATTTATTTAGGCGCTCGTTACAACTGTAGAGATGCTACATGGTTTTGGTTGTACGCAATTGTTCGCTATGCACACATGGCCCCAGATGGTGAAGCAATTTTAAAAGAATCTGTTTTGAGAGTGTTTTCTACGGATGATGCTGAATTTATGGTTGACTCGAGGGTAAGTTATGTCGATTTAAAAACGAAAAATAAAAATTTAGGTTGAATCTCTTGCGGATGCGGTTACTGAGGCTTTGCAACGACACTTCTTGGGCATTGACTATCGTGAACGTAATACTGGCGCCGCCAATGACGAGTATATGAAAGATGAAGTTTTGAGGATTTATGATGTGCTATACCCTTTGCTCCAGGTTTTAACGTTCGAGGATGGGTGAATCGCGACAATGGATTTATCTATGGGGGCAACCAGTGGAATTGTGGCACATGGATGGACAAAATGGGCAGCTCTGATAAAGTAAGTATGCAACCTCCTAATCACTAACTAATGTTAACTTTTTTCAGGCTGGAAATGGAGGACATCCGGCAACACCAAGAGATGAAGCAGCAGTAGAACTTCAAGTATTGATTTTGACTAGTTCAACGCTATTTTAAAAGCTCTTAAATTCAGGGCCTAGCTGTGGCCGTGCTTAATCAAATGGAAGCTTGGGCCAATCTAGAAAAAACGCTAATTTGGGAGTCTCTGATGGTAAGCTAAATTGGCGCCAAAAGTAAAACGTGTCTAGATGAACCGAAATGCAGTTGGGGAGAATGAAGTAATCCTTTCATAAGGTAAGATCCACTGGAAAACCAGTGGATTTAGCCCTTAATCTCTTCTTAACGTAAAATCCATAAGAAAGCCAATGGTTTCTGCCATCAATCTCTAAGTAGGTAAAATCCACCTGAAAACCAGTGAATTTCCCGCCTTTAGTCTCTTTATAAGGTAAAATCCAATGGAAAACCAGTGTATTTGGCCGTTAATCCCTATCATACGGTAAAATCCACTGGAAACCGCTGGTTTTGCCTCTGGCCTTTATAAGGCAAAAAGCTGATCGGAACAACAGTGGATTCTAGCCTTGTACAAGGCAAGATCCACTGGAAAACCAGTGGACTCTGGCCCCTCATTTCTTTATAAGGTAAAATCCAATGGAAAACCAGTGTATTAGGCCGTTAATCCCTTCGTACGGTAAAATCCAGCGGAAAACCAGTAGATTTTGCCTTTAGTCTCTTTAAAAGGTAAAATCCAATCGAAAAACATTGAATTCTGGCTCATTCCCTCTTTATAAGGTAAGGTCCACTGGAAAACGAGTGGATTTGCTGGATTACGGTACTAAGTGTAGATTGCGTATTCAGCTTAGAATAGGCTATTCAGTCTATTTGAGCTGGATTACGGTATTAAGTGTAGATTGCGTATTCAGCTTAGAATAGGCTATTCAGTCTATTTGAGCTGGATTACGGTATTAAGTGTAGATTGCGTATTCAGCTCAGAATAGGCTATTCAGTCTATTTGAGCTGGATTACGGTATTAAGTGTAGATTGCGTATTCAGCTTAGAATAGGCTATTCAGTCTATTTGAGCTGGATTACGGTATTAAGTGTAGATTGCGTATTCAGCTCAGAATAGGCTATTCAGTCTATTTGAGCTGGATTACGGTATTAAGTGTAGATTGCGTATTCAGCTTAGAATAGGCTATTCAGTCTATTTGAGCTGGATTACGGTATTAAGTGTAGATTGCGTATTCAGCTTAGAATAGGCTATTCAGTCTATTTGAGCTGGATTACGGTATTAAGTGTAGATTGCGTATTCAGCTTAGAATAGGCTATTCAGTCTATTTGAGCTGGATTACGGTATTAAGTGTAGATTGCGTATTCAGCTCAGAATAGGCTATTCAGTCTATTTGAGCTGGATTACGGTATTAAGTGTAGATTGCGTATTCAGCTTAGAATAGGCTATTCAGTCTATTTGAGCTGGATTACGGTATTAAGTGTAGATTGCGTATTCAGCTTAGAATAGGCTATTCAGTCTATTTGAGCTGGATTACGGTATTAGGTGTAGATTGCGTATTCAGCTTAGAATAGGCTATTCAGTCTATTTGAGCTGGATTACGGTATTAAGTGTAGATTGCGTATTCAGCTCAGAATAGGCTATTCAGTCTATTTGAGCTGGATTACGGTACTAAGTGTAGATTGCGTATTCAGCTTAGAATAGGCTATTCAGTCTATTTGAGCTGGATTACGGTACTAAGTGTAGATTGCGTATTCAGCTTAGAATAGGCTATTCAGTCTATTTGAGCTGGATTACGGTATTAAGTGTAGATTGCGTATTCAGCTCAGAATAGGCTATTCAGTCTATTTGAGCTGGATTACGGTATTAAGTGTAGATTGCGTATTCAGCTTAGAATAGGCTATTCAGTCTATTTGAGCTGGATTACGGTATTAAGTGTAGATTGCGTATTCAGCTCAGAATAGGCTATTCAGTCTATTTGAGCTGGATTACGGTATTAAGTGTAGATTGCGTATTCAGCTTAGAATAGGCTATTCAGTCTATTTGAGCTGGATTACGGTACTAAGTGTAGATTGCCTATTCAGCTTAGAATAGGCTATTCAGTCTATTTGAGCTGGATTACGGTATTAAGTGTAGATTGCGTATTCAGCTTAGAATAGGCTATTCAGTCTATTTGAGCTGGATTACGGTATTAAGTGTAGATTGCGTATTCAGCTCAGAATAGGCTATTCAGTCTATTTGAGCTGGATTACGGTATTAAGTGTAGATTGCGTATTCAGCTCAGAATAGGCTATTCAGTCTATTTGAGCTGGATTACGGTACTAAGTGTAGATTGCCTATTCAGCTTAGAATAGGCTATTCAGTCTATTTGAGCTGGATTACGGTATTAAGTGTAGATTGCGTATTCAGCTCAGAATAGGCTATTCAGTCTATTTGAGCTGGATTACGGTATTAAGTGTAGATTGCCTATTCAGCTCAGAATAGGCTATTCAGTCTATTTGAGCTGGATTACGGTATTAAGTGTAGATTGCGTATTCAGCTCAGAATAGGCTATTCAGTCTATTTGAGCTGGATTACGGTACTAAGTGTAGATTGCGTATTCAGCTCAGAATAGGCTATTCAGTCTATTTGAGCTGGATTACGGTATTAAGTGTAGATTGCGTATTCAGCTCAGAATAGGCTATTCAGTCTATTTGAGCTGGATTACGGTATTAAGTGTAGATTGCGTATTCAGCTCAGAATAGGCTATTCAGTCTATTTGAGCTGGATTACGGTATTAAGTGTAGATTGCGTATTCAGCTTAGAATAGGCTATTCAGTCTATTTGAGCTGGATTACGGTATTAAGTGTAGATTGCGTATTCAGCTTAGAATAGGCTATTCAGTCTATTTGAGCTGGATTACGGTATTAAGTGTAGATTGCGTATTCAGCTTAGAATAGGCTATTCAGTCTATTTGAGCTGGATTACGGTATTAAGTGTAGATTGCGTATTCAGCTTAGAATAGGCTATTCAGTCTATTTGAGCTGGATTACGGTATTAAGTGTAGATTGCGTATTCAGCTCAGAATAGGCTATTCAGTCTATTTGAGCTGGATTACGGTACTAAGTGTAGATTGCGTATTCAGCTTAGAATAGGCTATTCAGTCTATTTGAGCTGGATTACGGTATTAAGTGTAGATTGCGTATTCAGCTCAGAATAGGCTATTCAGTCTATTTGAGCTGGATTACGGTATTAAGTGTAGATTGCGTATTCAGCTCAGAATAGGCTATTCAGTCTATTTGAGCTGGATTACGGTATTAAGTGTAGATTGCGTATTCAGCTCAGAATAGGCTATTCAGTCTATTTGAGCTGGATTACGGTACTAAGTGTAGATTGCGTATTCAGCTCAGAATAGGCTATTCAGTCTATTTGAGCTGGATTACGGTATTAAGTGTAGATTGCGTATTCAGCTCAGAATAGGCTATTCAGTCTATTTGAGCTGGATTACGGTATTAAGTGTAGATTGCGTATTCAGCTCAGAATAGGCTATTCAGTCTATTTGAGCTGGATTACGGTATTAAGTGTAGATTGCGTATTCAGCTTAGAATAGGCTATTCAGTCTATTTGAGCTGGATTACGGGTGAGAGGAATCAAATTCGTAGGGAAAAGGAATCAAAACTGTAGAGAATTGTTTGTTTCTTTGTCTTTTGTTTTGTTTCCTTTTGTTTTGTTTCCTTATAATTCCTTTTCGATTCCTATCAGGCTCCTACTTGTTCCCTATTTGTTTCTTTTAGTTCCTATTTGTTTTTATAGTTCCTATTCGGTTCCCATTTGGTTCCGTTTAGTTCCTATTTCTTTGCTTATACTTCCTATTTGGTTCCTATCAGGTTCCTATTTCTTTCCTATTAGTTTCCTTTATAATTCCTATTTGGTTCCTATTTGGTTCCAATTTGGTCCCTGTTTGGTTCGGATTTGTTTCCTTATAATTCCTATTAGGTTTCCTATTGGTTCTTATGTCTTTCCTATTTGCTTTTCTTATACATGCTAATTGATTCCCATCTGGTTCCTATTTGTTTCCTATTTGTTTCTTTATAGTTCCTATTTGGGTCCTATAACTAAACTTCAAAATTGGATGTTTTTGAACGATAACTTAATAAAGTAAAATCAATTGAATAAATAAATGGAAAACGGAAAAACAGCTACAAACAAAACCAGAGTGGGTCTTTAATTAGTTGAAGCGCTAAAGTACCATTTTGACTTTTGCAGACAAAGCGTCACAACGTTTTCTTAACTATTAAAATTTCAGAAAACTTTAATTACAAGATTTTCTACAAGTCAAAGCTGAATTTCATTGACTTCTCTTCAAAAGCCACTACTACTTATTACTACTAGTCGCTACTAGTCCTACTACTACTACTCGCTACCGAGAAGTTTAAAATCTAAGTGGCTTTAGAATTGGTTTAGTATAATAAACATCATGCTTTAAAATACTTTCATATTTATGGTATAATTTCTTTTTTCAAGTTCAGCCCATAAACTCTTTTCAGAGCATATTCTTGTCACAATTTTCCCCAATTAGCTGATGAAAACTTTATCAAAACATTTCCTCATCCAACACTTTGACGAATTTAAGTCAAAATGATAGGGATGAAGGAGAATGCGAGCTACTAAAGATTTTTGTCTGTTTCAAATTTTACAACAATGAGGTAATTGTGAATGCTAAACTCACATATCCTTTCATAAGCCACTTTCCGATAATCATCCTTTTTGCCAACGCTGGACACAGTCTTCGAGAAAAGCGATGCTAATTTTGAGGGAGATCGATTCGGAGAATGATTAAGTCGTAAGTAGGAGAATTCGATCGATATTTGACATCTTTTTCATCGCCGATCCAACCATTTTCTACAACATC